GCCGGGCTGGCAGGCAGAGAGAATAAACAGGAGAGATCTAGACTTGAAAAGAATGAGGGAGCAAGAGAGGGAGGTGCCTGCGGCCAGAGGCCAGGCAGCCACGCCGCGGGCACCGGTCCTGCGCCCACCCCGGGCCTTGGGACCCCACCGACCCCGGCGGAGCGGCCTTTGGGTGGAACTTGGACCCCCCCAGAACACGGGGATTTACAAACCGGACCCCGGTGGCCCTGCGCAAGCTCAGATCCACCCAAGCCGAGGCCCTCTCCTCCACGCAACCCATGCCATCCCCTCCGCTTTTCCCATGCTGGGCAGTGAACCGTGTGGCTCTGATGGCCGAGGACGTCTGTGAGCCTCGGTTTCTTCATCCATAAAATTTTACACCCCGGAGCTTAGCGGAAGGAATGCACGTTGAATTATGAGTCAGACGAATTTGGATTTGAGTTTCAGCTTGAGCACTTGCCAGCTCCATGGTCTTTCACGAGCCCTTCAGCTTCAATGCGGCAGTCTGTAAAATGGGAGAATCTGATGTGTGTATTAGGCTAGACGCGTTTGCCCATCTCCACGTGGAAGAATGACTCAGAGAAGGGTGCCCGGGTGAAGAAGGCTTTTACTTTTTGTGCTTTTTATTCTATTTGTATTCTGTTTGTATGCCTTTTTTAGATATTTATTTGGTTGCTTATTTTTGAGGCAGGGTAGTACTATGAAGTCCTGGCTGGCCTGGACCTTATTGTGTAGACCAGGCTAGCCCCCAATTCACAGAGATCCACCTGTCTCTGTTTCTCTGGAAGTGTTGGGATTAAACTCATGCACTATCACACTTGTGCAACCTTGTAAAACTTTTGAAAAACAGAAACACATAGGGCATGGTCATGCGTCTAATCTCAGCACTTGGGGGACTGAGGCAGGAGGACCACTGCACATTCAAGACCAGCTTGGGAAACCCAGTAAGTTCTAGGGCAGACTGGGCCACAGAATGAGACCATCCCAGTCTCAAGAACTATAAAAACACCCAAAAAAGGTTAAAGAGATGGTTCAGGGGGCTGGAGAGATGGCTCGGAGGTTAGGAGCACTGGCTGCTCTTCCAAAGGACCTGGGTTCAATTCCCAGCACCCCCATGATAGTTCACAACTGACTGTAACTCCCGTTCCAGGGGATCTGGCATCCTCACATAGACATATATGTAAGCTAAGCATCAATGCATATAAAATAAATAAATTTTAAGAGATGACTCAGGCCGGGCGGTGGTGGCACATGCCTTTAATCCCAGCATTCCGGAGGCAGAGCCAGGCAGATCTCTGTGAGTTCGAGGCCAGCCTGGTCTACAGAGCGAGATCCAGGACAGGCACCAAAACTACACAGAGAAACCCTGTCTTGAAAAAAACAAAACAATACAATACAAACAAACAAGAGAGAGAGAGAGAGAGAGAGAGAGAGAGAGAGAGAGAGAGAGAGAGAGAGAGAGGGCTCAGCCATTAAAGACCAGGCTCAGAACCAAAACGTCAAAACGCTCAGATATAGAAGTACTCGCAACATTGTCAACAGAGACCCTTGGGTGCCCCACCTAACATTTCTTGGATAGCTTTTTTTTTTTTTCCTTTTTCTTTTTCTTTTTGAGACAGAATTTCTCTGTGTAGCTTTGGAGCCTGTCCTGGAACTCCTTCTGTAGACCAGGCTGGCCTCGAACTCACAGAGATCTGCCTGGCTCTGCCTCCCCGAGTGCTGGGATTAAAGGCGTGCGCCACCACCTCCTGGCTTCTTGGGTAGCTCTTGCTGAGGGCACACGGGAAGCCCGGTTTCCACCCCGGCCCTGAAAAGGGCCGAACACTATTGTTTGTTATTGAGTCAGGGCCCTGCGACTCTAGACAGGCTGGTGGAAACCCACTGTGTAGCACACGCGGACCCCAGACTTGAATACCTCTGGCTTCAGCCACCTGAGTCTGGGATTCCAGTCCTGGGATAAACCAGAATTTTAACCTTATTTGAAATTTAACATGCATACTTTGTTTTCTCAGCAAATCCCCACATTCTTTCAAGACAAGCACTGCTTACACACTTTGATTTTTCATGTTCTGTATTCGTGATTTGTAGAGTTACAAGAAATATGTGAATCGGTGGTAATAGGTGTGATCCTAGCATTAAGGAGGCTGGGGCCTGCAGGAGGATTGTGAGTTCAAAGCCACCCCAGAGGGAAAGGCTCAAGAGATGACTCAGAATTCGGAGTCTTTGCAAGGACCTTGGGTTCCATTCCCAGCATCCACGTGGTGGCTTACAACTGAACTCCAGTTCCAGGAGATCGAGTGCCCTCTTCTGACCTCCCCAGGCACCAGGCATGCATGTGGTACATGCACACATGTGCAGGCAAAGCACTTATACACATAAAATGTTTTTGAAAAGGAGATGGAAGAAAGAAAGCTTGGCTTTAAGAGGGTGGGGGACAGGATGGGTGAGGAAACAGGGGCACTAAGGGAAGGAGTAATGTCATTTGAACTGGTCAGGGAGCTGGAGGCATGGTTCACGGTTAAAGACATACTGCGCCTGCAAGAACCCAAGTTCCAGGCCTAGAACTCAAGTCTGGGGCTTTGTAACCCAGCTCCACTGACCACTCCTTCTGCAGGCATTGGACTGAAGCACAAATACCCTCCCACACACCTGTAAACATAATTTAAAATCGCCGGTTATTGTGGCACACACCTCTGTTTCACTTTATTTTTTAAAGACTTGTTTTTATTAGCTGGCATGCTGGCGCACGCCTTTAATCCCAGCACTCTAGATGTAAAGGCAGGTGGATCTCTGTAAGTTCCAGGCTAGCCTGGTCTACATAGTAAGTTCCAGGACAACCAGAGCTACATAGAGAGTCCCTGTCTCAACACCCCCCCCCCCAAATGTATTTATTTTATGTGTACGAGTATTTTGCTTGCATGTATGGATACTGTGCATGCCTGGCGCCTGCAGAGGACAGGAGAGGCCTTTGGGGCCCCTAGAATTAATGTTCCAGGTGGTCGCTGGGAAACAAACCCGCGTCCTCTGCAAGAGCCGAAAAGGACTCTTAACCTCTGAGCCACCTCTCCAGCTCTATTTTTTAAAAAGTTAGATAAATAAATTGAAATTAGCATATTTTTAATTTAATTTTTTAAAAAAAATTTTCATTGGCCGGGCGGAGGTGGCGCACGCCTTTAATCCCAGCACTTGGGAGGCAGAGCCAAGTGGATCTCTGTGAGTTCGAGGCCAGCCTGGTCTACAGAGTGAGATCCAGGACAGACTCCAAAGCTACACAGAGAAACCCTGTCTCGGAAAAGCAAAGCAAAGCAAAACAAAACAAAATTTTATTGGTGTTTTGTCATGGATGTAGTGTTCCCCTGGAACTGGAGTTACAAACAGTTGTGAGGTGCCGTGTGGGTGCTGGGAATTGTAGAGCAGCCAGTGCTCTTAACCTCTGAGCCATCTCTCCAGCCCCCAAATTAGTATATTTTTAAAGAATCAACTGGAGCTAATTTAAAAATTTTTTTATTTTAGATTTTTTTAGTTTGTGTGTGAGTGTGTGCACACGTATGCTCGTGTGCACACGCCATGAAGGTCAGAAGAGGGTGTCGGGTCTCTTGGAATTGGAATTACAGGTGGTTGTGAGTTGCCTGACCTGAGAGCTGGGAACTGAACTCAGGTCCTCTGCAAGAGCACCAAGCACTCTTACCCGCCTGCTGTCCCTCCAGCCACGCCCCACCCTAATTCTTTTGGCTGAGTTATAAAGTACTCTAATTTAGAATTTTTGACAAGTCACTAAAAATACCCAAAACAAATTTTAAAAATCACAAAGTGTGTTGGACGGTGGTGCTGCACGTCTTTAATCCCTGTCTGGAAAAAACAAAAAAAAACAAGGCAAAACAATACCCAAAAACAAAAAACCAAAAACCAACAACAAAAAACCCCCCAAAAAAAACAAAACAAAAAAACCACAAAAGTATCACAAAACATGACAGCAGCCTCCCCTGGGGCCTCTCAGCCTCCCCTGGGGCATCTCCTTAACCCTGCTCAGATCCTGGGTCTGGGTTCCTTCCTGAAGAGCTCTGGAAGGCAATGGTTAATGCCCTCTCTGGAGGTGAGGCTTCTCTAAGAACCGCTGTGGACTCACAGTCCTAACCTAGAGGTGTATTTATAGAGCTGTTTGCTCAGGGAAAGCCCCTTTGCCCAGGCCAGGGAGTGCCAGGGCAGAGGATCAAAGGCAGTCCGCTTCACCGGGATGGGGGAAAGGCTTTTAGGCCAGGCAGCTTTTGGAGCTGACCCTGGCTGTCCGAACACACACACACACACACACATACACACACACACCTATGAGGACGCCAACTGCAGGACTGGCAGGCAGGCTTACTGCCTGAAGGGGGAGCAGGTGGAGGGAAGGTCTGTCTGCCTTTGACATTTATAACTGCTGAGAGCTGATGGTCACAGACAGTCCTTTCCATTAGGAGATGGCTGTGCACCAAAGTGCTCCAGAGCTGTCACCTCCCTGGACGTGGTGGTCTAGGGAACTTTCAGACAACTCAGAGACTTATGAAGGCTAAGATTAACTTTGTGGATCCTGTCTTGAACATTAAATTTTTTTCTTTGTTTAATGTTTTTTTAAAGATTATATAAGGGTTGGACCTAAACCAGACATGGCAGTGCACGCCTTTAATCCCAGCACTCAGGAGGCAGAGGCAGGTGGATGGATCTCTGTGAGTTCTGAGGCCAGCCTGATCTACAAAGTGAGTTCCAGGACAGCTAGGGTTACACAGAGAAACCCTGTGTTGAAAAACCAAAAAAGAAAAAAGAAAAGAAAAGAGCTGGGCCTAGTATTCACGCCTGCTACCCCGGTATTTGGGAGGCTGAGAAAAGAGGACCGCTCGGAGGCCAGCCTAGACTACAGAGGAGTTCCAGGCCAGCCTGGGCTAGAGTCGAGACCCTGTCTTTAAAGAACAAGCTAAGAAAACTATGCAAGAGGGCTGGAAAGATGGCTAGGTGGTTAAGAGCACTGGATGTTCTTCCAGAGGTCCCGAGTTCAATTCCCAGCACCCACATGGTGGCTCACAACCATCTGTAATGAGATCTGGCGCACTCTTCTGGTCAGCAGGTGTACATGCAGACAGAACACTGTCACATAATAAATAAATAAATAAATAAATAAATAAATAAATAAATAAAACTACGCAAGAAGTAAGTGTTCACTGGAAAGCATCCCTGGGGAAGGGGCAAACAGAGACAAAGAGTGGACCAGGCTGGACGTGGTACTGCGCGCCTGTAATCCCAGCACTTGGAAATTGGAGTCAGGAGGATCCGAATATGGAATATAGCCAGGGTAGCCAAGGCTATCTTATACCACAAGGCCCAAACAGACACCAAAAGCATACTGGTCGGTCTTTGTGTTCAAAACAGAACATTCTCTCTCTCTCTCTCTCTCTCTCTCTCTCTCTCTCTCTCTCTCTCTCTCTCTCCAAAGATATGGAACATTTCATGAATTTACCTGTCACCCGTGTGCACAGGGGCCAGGATGATCCTCCAGTTTTAGTATGTGGCCGCCGAAGCGATCACAGAACGTCCTCTCTCCGCTGGCTAGCTTTCAGAAAGTGCCTGTGGGCTTCTGGGACAGAGACAACATCAGTGGACCTGGTGCTGCATGCGTGCCCTGCATGCTACAATCCCAACATGCCAGGCAAGCTCTGCCTACAGGTGCAGGGTAAACAGCAGCTTCCGGTGGAAAGCCCATGCGGCCAGGAGGCCACAGGTCCCGGCGTGGAGCCTGCTCTTGTCATTCTGCTAAGTGCTCATGCTGTCAAGTTGCCCTCTGGAGTTGTATGTTGATGCACAGACCTGGGCTATCTCAGCCTTGGTCAGAGAGCCTCGCTTCTGCAGTGGGCAGCGCAGAGGTCAGAACTAGTGGGGGTACCGGAAGTGCGTGCCGGGAATAGGAGGCTGAGTGAGTGCTCAGCACCACATGGGACATCTTTCTTGAGCCATCCCTCCAGCCAGGGCTCAGGAGGATGAGGAGCAGCGCGGTGAAATGCTGTCTCCTGGGTGTGACACCTCTATCGATCATGAAGTCAAAGCATGGCAGCCTACACAAGAGCACGCCGCCCAAAACGCTGGTGTAGATGGTGTGTGTGGACGTGCGCATGCGCGCTTTCCAGGTCCCATTCCTTACAGAGTCATTATATGCAGGGTTATATTTAAAAAAAAAAAAAAACAACCAAGTGTGGTGGTGCACGCTTTTAGTCCCCACACTTGGGAGGCAGAGGCAGGCAGATCTCTTGAGTCTGAGACCAGCCTGATCTATGGAGTGAGTTCCAGGACAACCAGGGCTACACAAGGAAATCCTGTCTCAAACCCCATCCCACCCACACCTGCAAAAAAAACTACATACTGCTCTTGCGGAGGACTTGAATCCAATTGCCAGCACCGCATCAGGCAGCTCCCAATGTCCTGTAACGTTAAGGAATCCAACACCCTGTTCTGGATTCTCTGGGCACCTGTACTCACACGTGCCCACCCCCACATGCACACACAGACACACTAGACACATAATTAAAAAAAATAAATCTGAAGGAGAAGAAATGAAGTCTGGAGGGAGGGGAACATGTCTCAGGGATGGGGGGGGGCGTGGGAGGTGAATAGGACCCTATTTCTTTGTACATATGGATGAAATTCTCAAGAACAGAGAAATTGGTTTTGTTTTTGTTTTTTGAGACATGGTTTCTTTGTGTGTAGCCTTGACTGTCCTGGATCTTGCTCTGTAGACCAGGCTGGCCTCGAATTTATAGAGATCCACCTGCCCCTGCCTCCCGAGTGCTGGGATTAAAGGCATGTGCCACCACCCTAGCTAAGAAAAATAATTTTTAATTTTTAGCTTATACAAAAAAATTTATTTGTTTGTTTTTTCTTTCTTTTTTATTTTTTTTAAGAATTTTTTTAAGATTTATTTATTTATTATGTATACAGCATGTATGCCTGCAGGCCAGAAGAGGGCACCAGATCTCATTACAGATGGTTGTGAGCCACATGTGGTTGCTGGGAATTGAACTCAGGACCTCTGGAAGAGCAGTCAGTGCTCTTAACCTCTGAGCCATCTCTCCAGCCCCCCACCCTTTTTTTTTTTTTTTTGTTTGTTTGTTTGTTTTGTTTTAAAGACAGGATTTCTCTGTATAGTTTTGGTGCCTGTCCAGGCTGGCCTCGAACTCACAGAGATCCACCTGGCTCTGCCTCCCAAGAATGCTGGGATTAAAGACATGCGCCACCACCGCCCGGACAAAGAAATTTATCAACAGAAAACAATTTGAGAAGTCCTACTCACAGACGGCGACCACAAGGATCCCCACTTCCTTCGGGTGCTGTCGGAGGGGATGGGGGTGACATCGGAGTTGGATATGCAGGGCAGTGATGCCCAGCTCCTTGCACCTCTGGGCCAGGTCCTGGGCAGCTAACATGGCTGCATGTGGAGAGGACTCAGCTCTGTCAGCCTTCACCTTCACTCCACCAGTCACCCGGCGATGGTTTCCTTGCCAGAAAGATCGGTACCATGGACAAAGATGTTATGGAAGGATGCGAAGATGTGGCAGACACCAAATATGTTCTCTCCTTCAGCCACTTGAGGCCCTGTTCTTCCTTCTTTTCCTTCCCCTGTGAGCCGCCATTTCTTCCTTTCCTTCTTTCTTTTTTTTTTTTTTGGATTTTCGAGACAGGGTTTCTCTGTGTAGCTTTGGTCCTGGAACTCACTCTGTAGACCAGGCTGGCCTCGAACTCACAGAGATCCGCCTGCCTCTGCCTCCCGAGTGCTGGGATTAAAGGCGTGCGCCACCACTGCCCGGCGTGAGCTGCCATTTCTGAACGTCATCTCCAGACTCATCTACCGGAAAGAGAAAAATAATTTTTAAAAATCCAGAGCATAGGCCGGGTGGCGGTGGCACTTGAGAGGCAGAGGCAAGCAGATCTCTGTGAGTTCGAGGCCAGCCTGGTCTCCAAAGTGAGTTCCAGGAAAGGCACAAAACTACACAGAGAAACCCTGTCTTGAAAAACCAACCAACCAAATAAATAAATAAATAAATAAATAAATAAATAAATAAATAAATAAGAGTTTCAGAGACGGCCCGACAGTGAAGAGCACTGGCTACTCTTGCTGAGGACCCAGGGTCAGTCCCAATGGTGGGTCACAGCTGTCTACAACTCCAGTTGTAGGAGATCCCACATCTGCTTCTGGCCTTTTTGGGCCCGGGCACCAGGCACACAAATGGTGAACTTACATACATACAGGAAAACACTCACATCAAATAAAAATAAATAACTCTTAATAACAAAACAGCACGCTCAGGGTACTGTAGCTCGGTGGCCAAGCTGAGTGCTAGAGCTCAGCATGTACCATCAAAGCCCTGGGTTTGACCCCAGCACCCAAACAATAATTTAGCGACAGACATGGATGTAGCCTTTACTCTGCCTGGGGCAGCTGTGAGGGCTTTGTACACATTATGTCATGCTGTCCTTGCTGCAGTCCAGTCTGATGGGGACTGTTAGTCTATTTATAGACAGGCTAACAGTCCTAAAGCCAGCTGTGGTGGCCTGCCTGTGCCCGCACCTCGGAGGCTCTTCATCACTTGAGCTGAGAAGTTTGAGAACACCCTGAAAAACCTGAGACTCTGCTTTAGGAAAAAAAAAAGGAAGAAAAGACAAATAAACCCAGTAGACTTCCCTCAGATCTTACAACTACAAAGGGACCCAGTTTGCCCCCCAGGCCGCCTGGGTTTTCTTTTCCTTAAGCTTTGCTTCCTTTTGTTCCATGTGAGTGGGTGTTGGGTCTGTATGTACGATGTCTATGCCTGGCGCCCGTGGAAGCCAGAGGAGGATGGCAGACCCCCTGGGACTGGAGTAACAAGAGAGCCGCCATGTGGATGCTGGGAATCAACCTGGGTCCTCTGGAAGAGCAGCCGGTTCTCTAAAGATGGAGCCATCGCCTCAGCCCCTGTCCTGGCATTTCTAGTCCGTCACTGTTACCTATGTTTGTCTCAGGCCTCAGATTTGCTGTGTAGAGAAGAATCACCCCAAACCCCTCTGCTCGGCACTGGGGTTCCAGGTGTGGGCCATCTGTCAGCATGTTGCCCATGTATCTTGTGTACAAGGAAACCTTTTGAGAAACTCTGATAAATGTGCTCAGAAGCGTCTTTCTTGCCCAGAGTATCTGTAACCCCAGCACTGACTGGGGCAGGAGGATTGAGAGTCCCAACCTGCCTGGGCTGCGCAGTGAGGTTAATCTGGCTGGGTATTGAATTAAACAACACGTTAAACTGAGTTATCCTGTGAGATGTTATCCTTAAAGGAAGTGCAGAACCCAGGAGGGAATCTGAAACTCCGTCTCTGGTGTGTGGCCATGACAACCATTTCCGGAAAGTCTGGCCCCTCTCAGATTCATGGTTTACTCACCCCTGTCCTTCCACAGGCAGGGTTCCATTCACGACTGTTACACGCCTGGCTGGTCTTCAGCCATGACTTCCTGGTCGTGTCACACTGTCCTCTCTCATTGATGATGCCCTTCTGACCTTTAACCTTTGCCTGGGCTCAGCTCCCTCCCACACTGCTCCTGAGGGAACCGCCAGGAGCATCCCAGGTGCCCGGAAGGCGGACCCTCTATCACGTGTCCTGTGCCTACCTACCTTCCCTTGCACACAGTAGGTGTTTATTACGTGCTGTGGGGTGAGCCCATAAGCAGGACGTGGTCAGCACCGCCTAAGCAGCTCTGGCTGCGTGCCAGCTCTTTCTGGCTGCCGCTGTCTCATGCCGTCGTGGGTGAGCTGGCCCTTGGGTATTGAGACAATGAAGAAACAGGACATGACCCCATTGGGTAAGGTGAGGACTGGGGTGTGGCTGGGCACTCTGGACTCCAGACAACGGCACCGTGACACCGAACCTAGTCAGACTCTCCAAAACCAGAATCCTTCCTGATCTGATGTCTATGTTTTCATCTACTAGTGACTCCCAGCCAGGCCCGGGGGGTCCCCAGCTGAGTGTGTCTGCTTGCTGTTCCGGGTTCTCAAAACAGGAAATACCTATGGGATTGGAATGATCAGACGTGACCTTGACAGGCATTAGGGTTACACAGTCATCAATACTATGACAATTATGTTAATTGTGTTTGAATGTCCATAAATCTCCCTACATCTCTGCTTGGGAAACAAGGCCACTAACTAGAGCGTCTGGATCAGGCTTCTAGAATGTTCTCTGCTGATTGGAAAGGTTTCTCAGATGATAGTCTTTGGTATTGTCTTGACATAACCATTTTACAGATTTTTGAAAATGTATTTATTGTATGTATGAGTATTTTGCCTGCGTGGGTGTGTACCCGGGCAGTTCAGAAGAGGAACCCTCTGGAATTGGAGTTGGCCACCACATAGGTCTTGGGAACTGAACTCAGGTCCTCTGTAAGAGGAACAAGTGCTCTCAACTGCTGAGCCATCTCTCCAGCCCCCATTTTACACATTTGATCAAAGAGTGGCTGTGATGAGGGAGGAGAATGAGTAGTTAGGGACCCCCCTCCCTCTGACACAATGGGCTCCCTCCCTCCATCATGGAGCCCTACCCCTAGGATCTTAAGGAAGAGTAGAGTAGCCACACAAGTGGTTATCTGGCTGGGAAGCCCAGAGTAGTACCCAAGACTGCTGCTGCTGCTGCTGGCTGGGCAGTGGGTCTGGAGATACAGGGAAAGGGCAGGAGAGGCAGCTTTGCCCTCTGAGAGGCATGTGACCTGGAGCAGAGTGAGCTTCGGCTTTCCCTGTGAAGTCTGGACTAATACCAGAACCCAGCTTATCTATTCATAGGTCGTCATAAAAACTGAAGAAGAAAGCCCGTGTGTCAAAGCTGTAGTCACACACCAAAATAGCACAGTGTATTCTTAGTGATGCTACAAGGGAGACGTTATTTTTAGCTGGTGTGCCGCTCAGAGTTATCTGTCTTGACATCTGTGGTTTTCGGCCGAGGATGCTTTGAATCCAGCACCCGGTAGGACCCTGTTAGTCTTCACTACTGACAGGATATTCACGTTTTCAGGCAGGGTGACCATGATCATCAGTAATAGACACTCCTCTGCACAAGGGACTCTAGGAAATTGTGTGTGGCTTTCTGGGTGAAACCCCTCTTCTGTTTTTTTTTTTGTTGTTTGTTTGTTTTTTTGTTGTTGTTGTTTTCTGAGACAGAGTGTCACTATACAGACTAGTTTGACATTAAACCCTTCTGGCCTCTACCTCCTGAGTGCCAGGATGAGGGGCATCAAGCTAAGACCTCAACCAATGTGGCACCAGGGCTGAGCTCTGTGATTTCTTCTCAACTTAGCAGGTTTCTTGTGCCATGAGGCTCCTGGCCTGGAAGCTGAGGTGGCCCTGGACTGAGGAGTCTCCTTGGCTTTTGAGGGCAGATGCTGAGACAGAGGCGGGACCACAGAGGAAGGTGGGCTCTTGCCTGAAGGTGGGGCGTCAGGCTGCGGCCTCAAAGCGTGTTGAGAATACAGAGCAACCCACTGTTTCCTTCCTCAGTCTGGAACTGCAGTTAACTACTGACCACAGCTGAACTGTGACCAATTCCCAGATCAATGGCAGATGCTGGAGTAAGGGCAGGGAAGACTGCATTCTGTCTGGAATAAGGAACGTTACATAAACCCACCTTCCTCCACAAAGCGTGTCCTAGAAGAGCAGGATGGTCCTGTGATGATGGAGTCTGACGCTGGGCCTGCCCATTTGTCCAAGAAATTCAACCAAGAATGTTTCATGCAGAGTCCAGGCACACAGAGAGGTCAGCTCTGGAGGTGACAAGGTCCTGTCAGTCATTAGAGGGGTGCCTCTTTAAGAACTAGGGAGAAAAGCGAGGGGGTCAGGGGGCAATGAGCAGAAAAATATCATTCCCATCCCAGAGCGCCCAACAAGGCGTCTCTTCTTCCTGGGCTGTGGCGGGCCGAGCCGAGCCTCTGGCCACAGGTCAGCCCTTATCACGGGAATCTGCCCCACACAAGCCTTGTTCGGATGCCTAGACATTTCCTTGTCTTTCCAGAGAGAGCCGGTTCAGTGTCCAATTAATCTTGACAAATTGCTCTGAAGGCTTATTAAGAACGGCAGACACCAAAGGGTAGGAAGAAGGGCCGTCACTCCACCGTGGCCAGATGTGGGCCGGGCAGCCACAGGAGAGGCAAGAATTTCGTACATACCAACGGCTTGAAGTCAGAAGTAGGAGAGTCTCGGCCTGCTGTGAGGGAAACAAGCTGAGGCAGGAGGGAACTTGTTTGGCCTCTGACCACAGGCCCCTGCCCATCCCAGTGGACAAAGGGAGGACCAAAAAGGGGCCATGTCTGCCCCAGTCCTGGACGGGTCTCCTCTGCTTACGGCCTACCTTATCCTCCCAGCTGCCGGATCTTGTCCTGGCTCTCTGCTCTGTAGCTCATCACAAGGCTTCTTCCTGCCAGACTCTGCCCCCTTTCCAGTTTTACCATCCCAAACAGACTGAGCACCCCAGCCAGGGCCCGGATCCCTCCTTGGAGCTCTCCGTGAGGACAAAGATCAGTCATCACAGAACAGGGTCACCTCCTTGGTACCAGCCATTCTGCCCAATGCCCTGGCCACTTGCCCACCCCAGGGCATCTCTCATTGTGTGCCTGGCTATTCCCCTTGGAGAATGCCCTGTCACACCCAGGAGAGAGATGCCTGGCTCTGATTC